TGACCGCGGACGGTCACGCAAAGGGGAGCATCGACAGAGACATGCTCCTACAGGTCATGGGAGGTATGCAATCCTTCCAGCATGATTTCAAGCGTTATACTGCTTATCGGGCTGGCCAGACATCCTCGTCTGCGGCCGCCTGAGGAGTACTCGTATGCACAGTGACGCGCAGGCAAGGCAACTTGCGTGCGGGTCCACCTTCCTTACGGCCCCGCCCTTTTGCTGCCCTTTTGTACATCGTAGCTGCTGTACCTGCTGTATAGAAGCGGCGGGCTCACGCTTCGTCTCCCTCCCCCCCGTTTCTAAAGTGAGCTGGGATACAGGCGAGAGGTAATGAGCGTGTGTCCGCGGCCGTTTGTGCTCGAGCGGCTGGCCGCCCAGATCTGATTACACCTCAGCGCGAGGTGTACCACTTACCATCGAGACCCAAGCATCCTTTGCTTGAGATGGCTCGTCGCTCCCGCGACGATCTCCTACTACTGGGGCTATCGTTGCTACGGTACAGCAGAGCTGGAGCTGGGCTTCGCCTAAGGCGAAGCTGCTGGTTGGGCCTCCCAACCCCCTTCAAACTGGAGGGGGTAGGGAAGGACCGTGAACTCAAGATCTTGCATCCTTCCAACGGGTAATACGGAACGCGCAAAGGTAAGACCATACAGTTCGACGAGGCGTCCAGTCAGGTCCCCGTTCTGAAAAAAGACCGCCCCCATACTGTAACCCCTGCGCCAGTTCTCGCTTGTGGCAACCGGCGTCGAGGAAGTCTGAAGCTAGAGCCCCATTCTGAAACGCAGCCGCCCTCCATCCGTGCTTGTGCACAGTGGAGACCCATGCCAAGAAGCACCCTGTTTGCCTCCAGGGTGCCCTGGGTTTCTCGGTTTTCGATGGTTTGCCACGGCAAGCATGGCGTTCCCACACCAACTATCAATGGACCTCCTGGGGTCTCAGGGCTGGGTTTCTTATGGAAGGTTTCTTGTGGTCGAGCTCCTACTGTACCGTCTGTTCATGCGTCTGGCTCCCGTATGGAAGGCGAGCTCGAGTGGGTGCCCAACTGTTGTGAGGAGCCGCCTTTCATCCGTGCAGCCGTTGCGTGTGTTCAAAGCTTCGGGTCCTTTTGGTTTTCGAAAAAGTCACAGGCGCATCCCCCAATCTGACCAGGAACCGCTCACCTTCCTCGGAACTGTGGCAATCTTCGTGCGACGACTGTGTTAATGCGAGAGCTCTATTTTGAATGCAGTGGAGACACCTGCCAAACAACACCTTGTTTGCCTCCAGGATGCTCTGATTTTCTTGGGTTTTGATGGTTTTGCGATGGAAGGCGTGACGTTCCCACGCCAAAAATCAATGGACGTCCTGGGGTCTCAGGGTTGGGTTTCTTGTGGCAGGTTTCTTGTGATCGGGCCTCCACTGCAGGAGCTTTTAAGACGAGCGTGCGCTGTCCTGAGGCGAGAGCCACGTTTTGAAAGCGACCCGCCTTCCATCCTTAATTTTGCTTGTTGCTCTTAGAACGACAGTGTTCGGCGTTAAGGCGAGAACGTATGCTTTAAAGGAGCTGCCTCCACCATTGAAGCTGTTGCAACCTTTTAAGACGAATGTGCGTGGCGCTAGGGCGAGTGCTCCATTTCGAAAAGGGCTTGCCCTTCATTCTTGAAACCGTTGCAAATTCCAAGTTCCAGGATCGCAACTGGTGAGGAAATCTCAGGCAAAACGCCCGTTCCGCCCTACCGACACGTCTTGGGGTTCGACAGGGAGGATCAGGGAATGGGACAGATGATGATGATGATGCTGCTGCTGATGATGGTGATGGTGATGGTGATGGTGATGGTGAGGAGGAGGAGGAGGGCAACGGTGACGATGAGGATTTGAAAAGGAAATGCAGAGTCTGAGCTGCGCCGTCCCAATAGAGGTGGTCGACGGTATCGGACGACTCCAGGCTTCCACGGGCAAGGGAGCCAGCCGTCCCCCCGCACTGTATTACCGAAAGTTAGACCCTACACTCAGAGCATCAACGGCCTAACAGTCTGGCTTACGGCCCAGAAGTTCTTTGCTGTGGCCAGGTTTTCAGCAACGGGCCTGGCCTAGCCCAGCTTGCTTAGCTTCGGATGGATGAGATACTGGCTAGCCTTGCATAGCATGGACTGGCCCAGCACAACCTAGCTCAACCCACCCCATCCCAGCTTTTCGTAGCCTAATTCAGCTTAGCCTGGCCTGGCCAAGCTGCCACGCTTACCCTGCGTAGCTCAACTTCGCTTTGCCTACCGAAGCTTTGAATCGATTCGCTTCCGCCAGCTTCGTCAAACCCAGTGCAGGCTTAGCTTACATGTTAGCCTAGCCTCGCGTTACCTTGCCTTCCCTTGCTCTGCCAAGCTTTGCCAACTCTTGCAGCGTAGCCTCCTAACTTAGCCCAGCCCGTGGCTTGGCTGAACCTAGGTGGCAGTCTGCTCTCGCCCAGGGATGGTAGGAGCTCCAGCCCCCTCTACGCGATTGGAGGCCTCAGGATTCCCGTTGGGAATGTTTCCGCGATCTCTCCCTGTCGCTCTCGCTCTCGCTCTCACTCCTTCGTCTCTTCAGTTTGTTTTCCCTCTGCACTGTCTCGCTCGCTGCCTGTAAGCCGTGGCTCGTCTGAGAGGACGACGCCAGCGACTCCGAGGGCCGGACGCACATGGAGGGCTACATGTCGTCCAGGGTGCTTCGGATGGCTCTCCACGTGAAGGAGGGGGGGGAACAGGATACTTTTCGATCCGATCGATCCGATTCGATATCGGCTCTGGCGAGCCTGATTCGATTCGTTTCCTATTTTCGGGCTATCCGATGCGGCCCGATGCTTGCATGGCGCTGTTCTGCATCCCGACGCCGCCGATTCGATTCGAGTCCGATTCAGAGCCGATGCGGCCCGATTCGATACACTTTCCGATCCGACCCGAGCCGATTTTCCGATTCAACGCTGGCTGCTCCTGGGGGGATCCTGCCTGCAGTCCACGGTGGGAGTGTGCTCCGAGGTTCCCGACCACAGTCCCGGCTACGGCGTTTCTTCGCTGGCCTCGGGCAATTGTTTTGTTTTTGTTCGGTTGTCTGGCCCCTGGGCCCCGAAGACAGCTCCGTGGACATTTGAACACTTACGTATATTATGTAGGCGGAGAGAGGGAGAGAGAGAGAGAGAGAGAGTGAGAATGAGAGGGAGAGAGAAAGAGACAGAGAGAGAGAGAGGGAGAGAGCGAGAGAGATGCAGAAAGAGAGACAGAGAGAGAGAGAGATAAGGAGAGAGAGAGAGAGAGAGGGAGAGATAAAGAGAGAGAGAGAGAGAGTGGGGATACATAGAGGTATAGAAAGAGAGAGAGAGAGAGGGAGGAGAGAGGAGAGAAAGAGAGAGAGAGAGAGGGAAACGAAAGAGCTCGCGGCTCGACGCCCAGAGGTCAGGAAAGGAGGACGGCAATACGCTCAGCGTAGGTCCCAGACCCCTTCCGTATACATCCCCTGGCCGAAAGTTTGCTCACGAGGCGTGCGTCATGTCGCCGACCCCCAGAAGAGGGATGAAGTCCACGGGTGAGGCCTTTTGGGGCCTCGTGGGGACCCTCTGGCGGCCTCTTTTGGGCCTCCTGGGGGCCTCCTCGGGCCTCTTGGGAGTTTCTTGGGCGTCCGCTGGCGGTCTCGGGGGTCCTCTTGCGGCGGAGGGCGCGGAACGTCAGTTCGAGTTGCCTCTCTTGTGCCCCTCTCCATTGGGGCCCTGTTGGGGCTCTCCTGGGCCATATTGGGCGCCTCCTGGGCCGTCTTGGGGCCCTCTTCGGCCGTCTTGGGGCACTCTGGGGGGCTTCTTGGATCGTCTTCGAGCGATCCTCGGAGCCTCTTGAGCCGCCTTGGACGCTGTTGAGGCCAAAGGTGCGAAGCTGCTCCAACAATACGTTTGCCCACGGACTGCTGATGATTTTTCCCTCCTGGGGCCCTCTCTCGGGGGTCGTCTTGGAGCCCTCCTGGGGCGTCCTTGAGGCCTCTTGTGTAATAGTGAGGCCAGGTTGCCGGTCGTCTCTGAGGACTCCTCGGCGTGTCGGAGCCCAGCTTGAGTGAGTTTGGATGGCATCCTGGGCATCCTGGAGGCCACGGGCTCTAGTCTTAGAGAGAGGCCTCAGAGGCCCCGGGGATACGGTGGGGGAGCTCGTGGCCCCCTCCCCGGCCCCCCTCCCGTGTGTGCCAGGCGGGCAGGGGTCGGCGGATTCCTCTTGCATGGAAGACCATGTTTCCCACTGGATCGTATCACTTGTTTGCAGATCCCTCAGCTAAGCTGCCCTGGTACGCCCGCGTTGAAACGCAAGACGTGCCGTGTTCAAAACGTCCGTGTCAACACTCTGCGTGTTGGCTCGGCATGTGTTGGCCCACGTTTTGGCGAACGTATCGCGCCAGACTTACGTTTGCAGTCTACGTGTTGAGCCCCGTGTCAACACGCTACGTGTTACGTGTTGCGTATTTGGGTAGCTAAGTCCATCAATATATTTATATATACAGACCATTCCCATTTCTCGATCATCCAGATTTGATGTTTGGCGTGGAAGGAAGCTTCGTGAAGTCCACAACCTCCCTGGAGCGACTTGATACGACTCATAGTCTTCGTGGCCCCACAGGAAATCGGTTCCACGGATCCGTGGATCTGCAAACCAATGCTCTGATTCTAAGCGGGAGGGTTTCCTTTGCCCAGCGACATGACGCGCGGGGAAGGGTGGAGGATGAGGACACATGAGACGACGCAGAGGAGGAATGAGAAGAGGAGAAGGATGTGCGGAACACGGATTGGGAACAGGGCGCAGATGAAGATGAGGAGGGGAAGACGACGATCTCGAAGAACACGAAGGGGAAACGGAACAGGATGCGGAACAAGAGGGGGAACGGGATAATGAGGACAATTCATCAGAGAGCGTGAGGACACACATGGCGTCACGGTCGCCCACCTCCGCACCCCCTGCCATAAGAGAGAGAGAGTAGCTCGAACGCCGCAGCGGACCCGAACCGCTCCCGCAGCCGCTCCCAGAGCATATGGATGCTCGAACGCCGCAGTGACCCCGTCAACTCGACAGATCGCATTCGGCATCGGGGGCTCAAAAGGAGCATCCTTCGGCCTGCGTAAGTATCTATGGTCGTGACCTGTTTTTCGAGCTGCATCCAGCCGCGGCCACAAGGGCTCCATTTCGGAATCCAGAGGTCCGTGTCGGGACCCAAGGCCATCAAACATCGATCCGGGACGAAACACTTGTCCCCTGGTCCCAGGGAAGGAATCGAGGTGTCCGGGGGGTCGCGTATGGAAACATAACGCAAGCAGAACGCGACGCCGGACCAAGACAGCGTGTTAGTCTTGGATCAAGGCGACTTGTTGGAAAGCGAAGGCTAGCCACATAGCACAGAAGCCTCCGCAGAAGTCGGCCATTACACCACCGCCGTCCATGGCCAAGCCCATCCTGGGCCCCTTAGGATGGGCCAAAGACCTCCATCAGACCCCCGACGTCATGTTTTATAGAAGAATTCAAAAAACAATACGTTCCTCCAGAGGTCTCGACCCATTCCCCGGGACGGATCTTTGTTCATCCTGAGTAGGTCTCTGACGGCCCCGAGGCCCAGTCAAGGCTCCCAGAGTCCGAAAATAGCGAAACACATACCGTCGGTGAGGAGGAGGAGGAGGAGGAGGAGGAGGAGGAGGAGGAGGAGGAGGAGGAGGAGGAGGAGGAGGAGGGGGTCTGGGTCAGGAGCGAATGGGCTGGCCATGGCCAGGGCCGGTGGCGGTGCACGGGCCGACTCCAGCGGCTCCGCCGCGCCGCTGCGATGCGGGCGCCCCGCCTCGCCGCACTCCTTCTGAGCCTGAGCCCCGCGGCCTACCTCTGCGGGCCCGCACCGGCGCCCTGCGGCGACGAGGAGGGCTCCTGCGGCGTCTCGGACGGCCCCGCCCCCGATGCGGACGTGGGCGCGCAGGAGGCCGAGGAGGCGGCAGCGCTCCGCGTCGAGCTCCTGCAGAAGGCACGGCTGGCCCGCCGCGGCGCCGCCGCCGACTCTGCGCCGCAGGCCGCGGGGGCACGGACAGGGGTGGCCATGGCACAGGATGTCCCCTTGGGCTGCCAGGGGGAGGCCCTCATGCGGGCCCAGGATGGCCCCAGTCGGGGCTCGGAGAGGCGCCTTGGCGGTCCCAGCAGAGGCACCGGAAGCGGGGGACACTCTGTGCCCAGGACACTTCTGTCGACTCTGGAAGGCCAGTCTGGCAGAGGACTGCACGGACAGCGACGACGGCTTGAAGAACGCCGTGGCCCCATTCGGCCTCTCGATCGGCTACTGCAGCCAGGCCGCGGACCAGTGCAACTCGTGGCCCGTGGGCTCCGTCATCAGGTCGTACTGCTGCGCGACGTGCAGCCAGGACAGCGCGCCAGCGCCGTCGCCAATGTACGACCCGAACTTGACACACGCCTCTCAGGTGTGCGTCTCGAACAGAGGAGGCTTCAAGCTCAAGTTCGAGCTGTGGGACACGGAGACGAACATGCGCATGCCGGTGACGAACAGCTACGCCGCAGGCGGAAAGGAATGCCGCAACATCAGCGACATAACCATGGTCGAAGGCGGGCACCCGGTCGTGATCGTCGTCCACCTGATCTGATGGGCCTGTTGTCCACCACCACCACCATAAGTTGGAGGGGGAGGGCGTCCTCCTCCTCCTCCACCTCCTCCTCCTCCTCTTCGTCCTCCTCCTCCTCCTCGTCCTACAACTCCTTCCCCCCCAACTTTTGGTAGTGGTGGTGGTGGTGGCAAACCGGCCCATCATGATAGCGGGCAAGACGATTACCCTGAGCCCCGTCATCTACGACCCGGCAATGGGCGCCGCGGCCGGCTCCCACAATGTCACGTGTAAGGGAGGCACCGGCAACCCGAGCTGCGTGACGCACCTGACGGACGGCTCCCAAGCCAAGGTGCAGCAGTTCCCGGCGCCTGACCTGGCGGCTTGGCAGCCCGTGTCGAAGAGGAAAATGCCACATAAATATAAACTTTTGGCGCTCCGCGCGGATTTCTTGGACCCGCGCCTGGGCCCCCCGGCGGCGCCTCCAGCGCCGCCCGCGCGCCAGGGAGGGTGGTCCAGCGCGAATCCAAGAACTCCGCGCGGAGCTCCAAATGCTTATGTTGATGTGTTTTTTTCTTCTTCTACCGTGGTAAGGGCGAGCCAGGTCTGTCTTCAGAATAGCGGCGGGTACCGGCTGCGCTTTCAGCTGTGGAACACCGCGTGGAATGCGTTGTCGCCTGTGTCCGACGGCTTCGACCACTCGAGGAGCAAGTGCATATCTGGGGACTTCATGAACGAGGTCCAGGAGGCCAACCCGTTGGTGCCGATAACGTACGTCCAGGGAGGCGGCCCACAGATGTTCCACTCGGTCATCTACGACGCCACCGCGGCCGCAGCCGTCTACAGCTGCGGAGGCGGAACGGGCAGCTATTCTTGCAGGCTGATTGGCACTTGAGCGCCGAGCAGATGGCTAGCCGCAGTGCAACGTTTATCAGTATCCGATACAATGTAGCTTCACTCCTACGCGCCTAGGCGTACCCGCCAACACAGGGGCTGGATAGTTTTAAGGAGGCTCAAGGCGCGTCTGCTTCAGCTATAAGCGGTCAATGATACAGCTGCTTCTGAAGCACCGTTGTCGCCGTCGTGCGCATGGGAGAGTGAAGAGCGCAAAATCCCACGACGTCGGCGGTCTGGTCTTCCGACGTGGGCCCCTGACCTCTTGACCCTACCCCCGGCGAGGACGTTTTCGTTAGCCGCGGGCAGTTGTTGTTTGCGGCCCCCGAGCCCCGAAAACACGCCCCCGGACACCGACATCGAGAGAGATGGAAGCGCTCGCCGCGACATCTCCACGACTTCCAGAGGTCCGGAGAGGAGGACAACACTGCGCTCAAAGGCCTTCCCAGATCCCTCCGGAGTATCGAAGACGCCTACGGCGAATCACTGCCGCCCCCTGCCTTTGTGGAAGCGCCTACGTGGCCGAACGTTGAGACCAGACCTGCCAAGCTATCGGACCATGTGTTCCCCGAATCGGTTTGGAAAGCCTTCGGGGAACACGTCTTGGAGGCCGTCTTGGACCATTTTGGGCGGACTTGGAGGCCATCTTAGCAGTCGTGGAGGCCATCTTGGCCGTCTTGGAGGCTTCTTGGAGGCTTCTTGGAGGCCTCTTGGGCCGTCTTAGGGTGGTCTTGGAGACCTCTTGGGCCGTCTTGGGGAGCTCTTGGAGGCCTCTTGAGCTGTCTTGGAGCGTCGGAAAGCCGAAAAGACGAGATAACCAACATCCTTTTAAAACCATCGTAAAATGAACGATTTTGGGCCTCTCGGGACCCTCTTGGAGGACCTCTTGGATGCCTCTTGGGCCGTCTCGGAGGCGTCTTGGGCCGTCTTGTGGGCGAACTTGGAGGTAGCTTGGACCCTCTTGGAGACCGTCTTGGACCATCTGGGGCGGAATTGGAGGCCACCTTGGACCATCTTGGAGGCCATCTTGGGCCAACGTGGCCATCTTGGAGGCCATCTTGAGTCGTCTTGGAGGAACATTTGGGAATTGGGCGATGGCTTGTGCGTTTTATGGGTCTTGCGGGTCCCCGGCTGGACGGGCCGAAGCGTCAGGGGGAGTTCTTTTGGACAAAAAACAAAACCAAACCGTAAGAAGTCCAGCGCGCCAGGCGCCCCTGTGATGAATCAGCAGGGGGCGGCGGATCGAAGACGCCTACGGCGAATCACCGCCGCCCCCTGCCTTTCTGGAAGCGCCTATGTGGCCGAACGTTGAGGCCAGACCTGCCAAGCTATCGGACCATGCGTTCCCCGAATCGGTTTGGAAAGCCTTCGGGGAACACGTGGGCATCTTGAAGGTCATCTTGGCCGTCTGGAGGCCATTTTGACCCTTTCGGGCCTTCGTGGAGGACGTCCTGGAGGGCTCTTGGGCCGTCTTGGAGGCCATCTTGAGCGTCATGGAGGCCTCTTGGGCCGTCTTGGGGGCCTCTTGGGGCCGTCTTGGGCCTCTTGGGTGATCTTTGGGTGCACTCGGGCCGTCGGAAGGCCGAACAAAAAAACAAATGCCACGATCCTTCAACAACTCATGGGAAATCAATGATTTTGTTTTATTTCTGGCTTTCCTGGAGGCCCTCTTGGAGGCCTCTTGGGCCGTCTTGGGCCATCTTAGGGCCATCTTCGGCCGTCTTGGTGGGCTCCTGGCCCGTCTGACGCCGTCGGAAGCCGTTTGGGGGGCCTCTCTGGGCCGACTTGGGGCCCTCTTGGAATGCTCCAGGGCTGTTTTAGAGGCCTTCTTGGGCGTCTTAAAGGCCTCCTGGGCCGCCTTGGGGGCCTCTAGGGCCGTTCTGGGGCCATCTTGGAGGCCTCTTGGGCGATCTTTGGGCGATCTTTGGGGGCTCTTGGGCCGTATCGGGCCGTCGGAAGGCCGAAACGAAGCAAATCTCAAAATCCTTGAAACACCGAAGAAAAATCAATGTTTTTGGCCTTTCTGGCCTTCCTGGAGGCCCTCTTGGAGGCCTCTTGGGCCGTCTTGGGCCAGCTTCGAGCCAACTTCGGCTATCTTGGTGGGCTCCTGGCCCGTCTGACGCCGTCGGAAGCTGTCTTGGGGAGCTCTGCGAACCGACTTGGGACCTTCTTGGGGCGCCTCAGGGCTGTCTTGGAGGCCATCTTGAGCGTCTTGGAGGCCGTTTGGGCTCTCTTGAGGCTCTCTTGGGGGCCTCTTGGGAGCCTCTTGGGCTGTCACGGGAACATCTTGGAGGCCTCTTGGGCGATCTTGGGGCGATCTTGGAGGCCTCTTGGCCCGTCTTGGGCCGTCGGAGAGCTGAAAAGAAGAACATGCTAAAATAATTAGAACACTGTAATAAAATCAATGATTCTGGCCCTTTCGGGCCTTCCTGGAGGACGTCTTGGAGGGCTCTTGGGCCGTCTTGGAGGCCTCTTGCGGGCCTCTTGGGCCGTCGTAGACCATCTTGAGGCCATCTTGGGCCGTCTTGGGTGCATCTTGGAGCCATCTTATCTGTCTTGGAGGCCATCTTGGGCTCTTGGGCCGTCTTGGAGGCCTCTTGGAGGCCTCTTGGAGGCCGTCTTAGCTTGTCTTAGCGTCTTGGAGGACGTCTTGGAGGGCTCTTGGGCCGTCTTGGAGGCCTCTTGCGGGCCTCTTGGGCCGTCGTAGACCATCTTGAGGCCATCTTGGCTGTCTTGGAGGCATCTTGGAGGCCATCCTGGGCCATCTTGGCCGTCTTGGAGGCCATCTTGGGCCAACTTGGCGCAACAAAGCCATTGACATATGGATTTTCGGGAATCCTCCGGGACCCCGGCGGGACGCGCCGGAGCCCCAGGGGGAGTTCTTTTGGAAAAAGAACCAAAACCGAATCCGATGGGATTCGGCACGCCAGGCACCCCTGCGATGAATCGACAGGGGGCGGCGGACCTAGTGGCCTTCGGCCTATCCCGCCACCGTGCCTGGGTTGTGGGTATGAAGCCAAATTGGATTTTCGTTGGGATCTCGCGGGAGGCTTCTGGGGGGCCTCTTCGAGGCAGTTAAGAGGCCTCTTGGGGATCGTTGTGGGGCCTGTTGGGTTCTCTTTGGGGGCCTCTTGGACCTCCGCTTGCAGTGACTCCCGAGCGGGCGCGCCAGGAGATGCCCGACCCGTGGGGCGAGGAGGAGTCCCCCGCCGCGGCGCGGGTGGCGAGGCCGCCCCGCCAGGAGCCGCGGCGCGGCGGCCCGGCCGCCCGCCGCCGCCGCCGCCGCCAAGCCGCCGCCGAGTCGCCGCCGAGCCGCCAAACCGCCTGCGGCGCTCGCCTGGGGGGGCGGGGGGGCCTGCTCGGAGACCGCGGCGGGGCCCAGACCTCCTCGCGTTGTGGACAAAAACCTCTAGACAGGAGGTTTTTCGTGATTTTCGGCCTCTGGGGGCCCTCGCCGGGCCCCGGAACCGTCAAAGAAGGACTCAGGATGAAAAACCGGTCCCGGGGACGGTGTCCAGACTTCTGTGGGTCGACGTTGTAAAACAACACGACGTCGGGGGCTTTGGGAGTCGACTGAACTTATGATGTTTCAACCTCCTTGAGCCTGGATCGCCAGCAAGAGTGTCGAGCACCAAAAAGAAGGTACCAGAGCGGGAGGGTCTTCACGTGTCGGGCCCTGGGAGGTGGTACTCGTTCGACACCTCGCTAGTGTGTCGGGCAGGCACTGTTTCGAGACTTTGCTGGGTGCTCGGAGTTGTTTCTGGGATTTGTTCCTCAAGTACGATGAGAGCCACCTAAGACTACACGAAAGAGTGGCACTTCGCCTGAGTGATCTTTGGTGCGGGCCCACTGGGGTCCCCCGATCGCCGAATGCGATGAGGTAGTGCTGCTTTGCGCGCTTGTGTGTTGGTCCCCCCGCGGCCCCCAACAAGCCGCGCACCGCAGGTCACTCTCACTCAGAGTCTCTCTTGCGTGGAGCCGAAGGAGGGCTGGTCTGGTGGGCCTCCCTCACGAGCGGCGGATACATCCGTATCCGCGTCCTCGCGGTCTGGGCTCCGGGGCTCGATCCCGCGGGTACACGGTCGCTCGGGTACGCTCCGCGGCTCAGGGGCTTGGCCCGCGAGGCCGCGGATACGGGTACGTTTTTCGCCCACGACTCCTGGAGGCTTCTCGAAACGCAGGTCAGGATGGACCGCGGGAGGGGTCTGGGGATGGATTTTGAGCAGGTCTGGGCCAGGCGGGAGAGCCGCTGTTGTCTCAAATCTCGGGGCTCGCTGCGGTGGCCCGGACTGCTGATCCAGGCCCTCGTTGTCGCGGCCGCCGCCGGGGCTCGGCGGTGACGGTGACGACGGCGTCGCCCATCTGGGATTGGCTGAGCGCCCCCGGGGCCAAAATACATCAATATCCACAGCCCGCTAGGGCACCAGGACGTCGGTTCCCAGGCGGTGGATATGGATAAACCCCCGCCTCGCACAACTGTCCCCCACGCCGCACGAATTAACCCCAGGGCTTGTGCCGCCGTGCTCATTCCGCCACCGATACGGGGCCTCCGATCGGGCGCTGCCAAGGGCCTGCGAGGGCTCCTCGCGAGGGAGGGCTCTTGGATGGAAGGCCTCCGAGGTGGCTTCCTCTGTGCCCCCCGGCTGCCTTTGGAGGCCACCCCCCTCGAGGGCACCCCGATCAACTATTCCATCCTGAAGCTGTTCCAGGTCATGGTGGCTCGCACTGTCACATCGCACCCCTCCCCGAGGAGGAGGAGGAGGAGGAGGAGGAGGAGGAGGAGGAGGAGGAGGAGGAGGAGGAGGAGGATGTTCGAGGAGGAGGACGAGGATGAGGAGGAGGGGAGAGGAGGACGAGAAGGAGGAGGAGGAGAGGAGGAGAGGAGGACCAGAAGGGTGAAGGGGAGGACGATTGGGACGAGGCGATGGTCTGCGCGGGCGAAGCTGCGAGGCGGCATCGAGTTCAGCAACTGCCCCTGCCGCTCTCCTGCGGGCGCCAACTGCGCCCGAAGGGCCCCTCGACGGCCCTGTTCAGCGCGCGAGCGCACGCAGCGCGCGCCAGGAGCGCCTCGCCGACGCCAGCACGGTGCGCGCCGCGCTCTCGGACGCGGCGGCGCGGCGACGCGGCGCCGCCCAGCGCGCTGGCGCGGGGGCCACCACGCCACAGGCGGCGCGCCGCGCCGTGGCGCCGTGCGGCGCTGCCGCGGTTAGGCGAGAGCGCCGTCGCCGTCGCTGCCGCCGCTGCCGGCGCTGGCGCGGTCGCCGTCGCCGTCGCGGCCGCCGCCGCCGCCGAGGTCGTCGTCGTCTCTGCCGCTACCGTCGTCGTCGTCGTCGTC